AGGATATTTAAGTGAAAGCTCAGGATACGGTGGTCAGGCACAGAACAAAGCACTCTGTGTCAGCCAAGCTACAGGCATAGCTCCTTGCTGCATAGCTGCCTTCCCACCCCCAGGCTGTCACCCCCGACTCCTTGAAGTGCCTTCCAATTAGTCTCTGTTCCTGGCAACCCTGAGCTTAGCACAGAATCCATAAGTGTCAGCTGCCATCATCGCTCTGTCATATACTGAGTTTAAAGGTCAATTTTAATTTTCACTGGAGTTCTTTAACTGATCACAGCCTTCGGGCTAAAGAAGTGTTGACTGGACCTGCTCCTCAGTGTAAGAGGGGTTAGGCCAGGCCTGGGACCACCATGCTTTGCCAGTCTCCCCCCTCGGAGTCCACGGCACTGTGAGCTTGATCTGAAGGGTAACCAAGCCTTGGGGAGCACGGATTGGGGCCCTTGAATCCAGCCGACCTGGCAGGCCTGTGCAGACAGGTTTCCAGGGCTGTGGGAGGACAGGAGCCAAGCCTCCGGGGCCTTCCCACACTCGAGCTCCCTGGCGTGCGTCCTGCTCCTGCTGCCTGGCCGCACCCCACCGCTCACACTGGTGAGCCAGTTGGGCCCTCTTCTTCTGGTATCCCCGTGTGTAGCCTCACAAGAGCCCCCTCCTTCAGCTCAGCCAGGCGGCCACACTTGGCCAGCTCACTCCAGCCATAGCCCTTGCCTTCCCTGACCAACCCTCACCACAGCAGCACTCCTTAACTTGCTGTTGGCTGCCTTTAAGGGTCCTGTAAAAGCTGTGCCCCAGCCTCCCAGAAAAGGGCACACGATGGGCCAGCTCTGTCAGCGGGCAGTTTCCTGGGCCCCTGAAGGCTGTCTGGGGGCCCAGGTTGAGGAATCCTGTCTGGGAAGGACTTCCCCCCAGCAACCCCCATGGGCTTACTTCTCCTTACCCCTAGTATCCTGGCTCCTGTCTTTACCCCTCCACCATTGTCGGGGTCAGAACCACACATGGAGCTAAGCAAATGACCCCAAATTTCTTGATAGATATCATTATTACTACATATTGAGCATTATGTCCTAAATACTATTGCAAATACATTATGGGTATTAACACATTTACTCCTCACAGCAACCCTGGAGGTTGGACTAATTAGAATCACCCCATTTTACAGATAGTTAAGGAACTCTCCCGAAGTCTCATGGTGGAGAGAAGGTGCTGCCCTCCCTACACAGCAGCTGGTCTACCACCTCTAGTCCAATCCAGAGTCTCCCTCGAGGCTGAGCCAATGCCTGGGCACTCTGAGCCTGATGCAGGCACAGAATGAAATGAACCCAAACAGCCAAAGGTGAGCTGCCCCAGACGAGTGGCCATCAGTGACTCTTGAAGACTCCAAGCCTGTGTACAGGCTGTTTCCACTGCCTCGGACACACCTTTTCTACTGCCTCTGTCATATTCATTCATCCTTCCGGCCTCAATGCTCCTTCCTCCATATAGCTTTCTTGGCATGCAAGAGTAGGTTGGATGCCCCCTCCCCCCAACTCCACATGAAGTCATGGCCCCCAGAATTTTCCCATCCCAGCCGTTAATCACTCTGTACTGCAACTGCCAGTCCACACAACCGCTTCCCTTCCAGCCCAGAACCTCCCAAGTGGGCGGGGATTATGTCTTGCTTTTCCTTGTTTTCAATTATTTTTTCAAAAAATAATTCTTTCATTTTTTATTAAAGTATAGGAGCACTCAGCAAAGGGCACAAAACATAAGTGTAAAGCTCGATGAATTTTTATGTATGTACACAGCCACATAACCACCACTCAGATCAAGACATAAAACATGTGCAGTACTCAGAAGGTTCCCTGGTCCCGTCCAGTCATTACTCCCACCCCAGAGGTAACCACTGTTCTGACCAAGGCCACCCTAGTCTTGCCTTTTCTTAAACTTCAAATACCTGGAATCGCACAGTAATACTCTTTTGTGTCCGGCGTCTTGTGCCCACCGCTATGTCTGTGACATTCATTCCCGTTGCTGCAGGTTTCAGTGGTTTGTCCTTTTTCTTCTTGTGTAGTATTCCATTGAATGACCATACCAAAATTTACCTATCCATTGTACTACTGATGAACAGGTCAGCTAGCATACGGAACATCTAGAACTTTCATTCTTTGCTGGTGGGAGTATAAATTACTACAACCACTAAGGAAAACTCTGTCTTGTTTATCGTTGTTCTAACAACTGTCATTTATCCAGCATTTTCCATGAGCCAGGCACTGTACCAAGTGAGTCATCTGCATTATCTCCCTCTATCCTCACAATAATCATGGGAAGGAGATAGTTGCCATCCACGAAATAGGATCATCATGATATCAACATCCTAGGATTAGTGTGAAGTTTAACCGAGATAACATTTTGAAGGATTTAGCCCAAAGCTGCCATTTTGTAATGCTGTTTATGAGACCTGTTATTGTTATTACTAAAGGGCACAGGGCTGGGAGCTCAGGAGTCTGGGTTCCATGTGTACCTAAGCCAACCTGAGCAAGTCATCTCAGCAGCGTTGACCGCAGAGCCCCTGGAAGGTTGACAGTCCACAAGCAGGGACCTTGTGGGGACGACACAAAGTACACTCTCCAATAAGACGCAGGCTCAAACTTTGGGAGTCATGGGGGGGTGCAAAACTCAAGACTGTAAATCAGGAAGGGCCTTAGAAGTGTTTAGGAGCCCTCCACTGTGTGTTTCCTCTAGAAGTTGAGTACAGAAGGTACTTTCAAGTGACTATTGTTGAATACCTGTTTCTCTCACTGGCCTGCAAGCTCCACGAGGGTTTGTTCAGTGTATGTTTTTCAAGCATTCATTCACAAATCCGATTTAAGTGCCTCCCTTCCTCCAGGCACTGTGCCAAGAGCCAGGGGATATAGCAGTGAACAAGGCTGACAAGGAGGGAGAGGGACACCAGGCAAGGAAACGAAGGAGGAGCAAGAGACTATGGTGACAAGTGCTGGGAAGGAGCCCCAGCAGGGCGAGGAGGTGGAGACGAACTCTTGGGGAGGCGGCTGCTCTAGGTTAAGTGGTCCCTGGAGAACTTGACGGGAAGGAGGGGCAGCCCAAGGGGCAGAGCAGGTGACAAGCTCCAAGGCCCTGCGGTGAGAAAGGAGAGAGGGTGGGGGAGGAGCTGTGAGTGGGGGCTGAAGGGGAGATCTGAGGCGGTGAAGGCCGGTTCCCGTGCAGCCCTGTAGGCCTGGGCAGGGAGTGTGGACTGGACCCTGAGGCTGACGGGGAACGCGGAAGGGCCTCAGCGGGAGAGGCCTGCGTGGAATCCCTGCGTCGGGAAGGTCGACGTTCCGGGCAGTCTGCGCGGGGGGCACACAGAAGATGCCCGACGATTAGCTTACTGCATGCCTGCCCGCACGGACAGACGGACGGACGTGCGTTCTGGAATAACCGCTATTCCACAGAGGACCCCAGACCCGCGGCCATAGGCCCTGGTTCTACCCCGGTGACCAGGCGCTGTGACCTTGGGCGAATCCCCGCCCCGACTCAGGGCCCGGAACCCTGCGTCCGGGGGCAGGCAAGAACGCGCACGGTCTGGCAGTGCGCGCGGCCGACGGACAGCGGGTGCACGGGCCGGCCCCCCGCCCACGCCAGCAGGACCCCTACGGGGCGCGC